TGACCCTGAAGTACCACGTGATTCTTCACGTGCACACGTGGGGATGACCCGAACTTCAATCGACAGGGGGTTTAGTTTTACAAGGAGCGGACAAGTAGCTAGAAGCTACTTGTAGCAGGCGCATCGCTACTAGCTACTAGTAGAAAGGGCCTTACTAGTACAGTAGTAACAAGGGCATTACTACTAGTAGCTATAGAAGCTACCAATCATTCTCGCCAAGGCTCTGGGGGCAGATGAGTTGCAGGCCTGAAGAAGAAGAGAACTGCACGATCGGGGTCGGGGCTGATCGACCACAGGGGCAGCTGATCGACCACAGTCCTGGCACCAGTGGATCCTTTTCTTTTGGTACCTGCTATGTCAGGTGCAGACATTCTTGCCCATGAGCAGTCTATGGCTTGGAAACCAGACCATCACACACTAGTCGGGGGTTCATGTGATACAACAGAGATGGCTTGATCCACGACTTCCTCCACAGACATGGTGTCATCTTCCTGCATGTCTCCCCAAAACTGGACTTCTTGGACTCAGGAGTCTCCTACTCTATGGAAAGGATCGCGACAGCACGAAGACGAAGAGAAAACGCTCGCTCCATGCGTGGTGTTCTTCGGCAGGCAGAGATTGATGCACTACGAGCCGAAGTTCAAGCGCAGGAGGCGATGCTCCAGGACCGCTCCGCAAGCGGCCTTTCGGTCCGCTGGCCGTAGGTGGCGAACAGAGGATCGATCGATCGAAAAGGACTTGCATGTCCCACAGGTCACCTGAAAAACGTTTATTTTTCTTTTTCCATCCTTGGTTGAACAGCACCTTTTTCCCCAAACAGGTTTACCGTAGTGAGGGTTCTTACTCCTTTGAAAGGGGTGCTCTGGCCGCATGATTTTACACTTGTCTCCCATTTGTCTCCCACGTGTCTCCCACTGTCTCTAGTCCCTTGTGGGTGCGCTGGTCGCATGATTTTACATTTGTCTCCCACTGTGGGTGCTTTGGCCACATGATCTTACACTTCTCCCAATTGTCTTCCACTTGTGCACCACTGTGTGCTTTGGCCGCATGATTTTTTACAGTTGTCTCTCATTTGTCTCCGGTGCTTTGGCCGCATGGAAGAAAAACAACATTATTGAAAGGGAAGAAAGCTCCAGGGCGCCGACACAACTTTTGGCGGATTGTGTCTTTAAACGTTCAGCAAGGCATTGCTTGTGTTGTTCACACAATTCGACGCCGCGGCCATGTGCCTGGCTGCCGCCGACATTGCAAAAAATTCACAAAACGAGTTGGGACTTTGACTTGGACCAAGCAAACTGTTTGGGGTCAACGCTGGTTTTTCTTTGTTCCAACCACGCCTCTTGGTGGAGCCTCACCGCCTCGGACGCTTCGTTTCTGAGGAGTCAAAGGAGTCGGAATCGATCACTCGCGTGACACACACTCATGGATATGCGTACTGACTTGATAGCGGTGCCACACGCCAGCCTAAGAGACCCAAATCCTGAAAAACCAGGTGAAGGGGACCAGAGTTCCTGTAGTTAAAGGCCACGAGACGACGAACAGGACGAGGTGACGGCAGTTCCGCTCGCATCTGCAGTGCAAAGAAAAACAACAAGACATCTGAGTATCGAGGTTCTTGGCTTGGCCTCTTGCCATACGGAAAGTGGAAAATTGCAGGTACGTTCCCGAGGCGTCCCTCAGGAATATCACAACACAATGGAAGGGTCTTCGTTGGGCAATGCCTTCCAAAGTGTTCATTGCCCCCCTGCTGTAAAATGAGCAACTGCAAAAGCATCCCTATGACTCCAAGGGTGACACACACACATACACATAGTGGAAATGTAACTTAAGCATATGTGGAAATGCCATAAATGTTTGGTATATAGCTATGTATGACAAACACAATGGACATGTAACTTTGTTTTACATTTCGTTGGAGTTTCTGTGGTCAGAATCACCGCGGACAGTTGCGGGCAGCGATGAGGCTGTGAGGCTGTAGAAAAGAATAACAGAGTGGAAGTTGTCAGCATCAATCTTCCTGGGAGACACCTTTTTTTTCTTTCTTTCATCAATGATTCTCAGATCTCACTGGCAAGGCTGCGCTTCCGGATTTCATACCTTTTAATCTGCCCATTCAAATACCCAGAAATGACGGAAACACATGCCAGACATGACTTGGCAATCTGGTACTCTCCCCCACCGTGCAGGGACAACAGGGACAACAGGGACACTAGCACGAGAGCAAGAACACTGTAACGACAAGAGCAGTTTGCGATGAAGACAATGACTGAAATGTGGGTGAGCAGGTGTTTTTTGGTCGACTTGGTCGATGCCAATAATCATGCAGTCGAACCACATAGCTTTAATAAGAACATAGATTGAACATAAAGTATATATAAGTGCAGACATTCTACTGGTGGAGGACATTCGACACTTTTTAGGAAGTGAGGATTTTCAACGGATTCGTTCCTGAACCAAACTCATGCTGTGCTAGAGGATCAGCAACTGCGCTTCGACCACCTGGAGTCCCTCAACTCCGGGAGACGCTTGCAAGTGACCGTCACTGACTTCAACACACAGGATGGGTCAAGATGTTGAGATAAGAGTTGTGTTGCGTCTTTCATTTTTAGTTCGGATTTTGCCGTTCGCTGTCCTGGTCATACTGTAGCTTCGCATGCTTCCCCATCAGATCGCGGCAGTGAAGAGTTCCATCAACAACCTGGGTGGTGCCCTTGATTCAGCTTGGCTGTGCCTCTGTGGAGCGTTGGTCATGTTCATGCATGCTGGCTTCGCGATGTTGGAGACTGGCTGCTGCCGGGCGAAGAATGCTTCCAATGTCTTGATGAAGAACTTGGTCAATGTTTGCTGTGGGACCTTGGGCTGGTGGAGTTTGGGGTGGGCATTTGCATATGGCGGCGCAGCTGAAAATGGCTTCATTGGCACCACAGGGTTCTTCGGTACTGGCTTCTACACTCAAGATTCAACAACCGGAATCATTACGCCTGTCACTTGTGATGCATCCAGCGATGGATGCCAGAGTACCATGTTGAGTTGGTTCTTTCAATGGGTGCCTTGTCGTACCCAAAAATGTGTTTTGTTTCTTCTTCATTCATGCTGTTTTTGGTTGGAAAGCTGTGCACATACACACACGCAGAGGCCTTTTGCACTGCTGGTGCTACAATCGTGAGTGGTGCAGTTGCGGAGCGGGTGAAAAGCCCTACCTATGCAGCCTACGCCCTCATTATGACGAGCTTCATCTATCCCGTGGTTGTGGCATGGACATGGGGTGGAGGTTGGCTGGCCACAGTCTTCGATGTCTCATACATGGACTTTGCAGGCGGGCTGGTGTTCGGAATTCCAAATCAAGCGTCTTTTTAGGCTCGAGCTTCACTTGATCACTTGCCCTTTTGAACTGGACTTGTTTGTGGGCGATGATAGGAGATTCGACTCTATAAAATGCCTTTTGGACCCTCATTGTATAGAGATCTCGTCGCTGGTCCGCAGGCAGTGGCATTGTCCATCTCACTGGTGGAGTCAGTGGCCTTGCTGGTACTGTTGTGCTGGGACCAAGGAAGGGCCGCTTCGTGAACCCAGAGGAGTTTGAGCCTCACAACCTTCCCTTGGTGGTGCTGGGAACCTTCGCGCTTTGGTTCGGCTGGTATGGCTTCAACCCAGGATCCACCCTCACGATGAAGACCGGGAACGATGGTGCTTTGGCAGCACAGGTGGCGATGAACACGACTCTGGCTGCTGCCACAGGTGGAATCACCGTGTTTGTCCTTCGCTATTTCATCACGAAGAAGTACGATGTCGGTGGCTTGTGCAATGGTATCCTTGCAGGCTTGGTCTCCATCACAGCAGGCTGTGGAAGCATGGAATGTGGTTCAGCCTTCGCTACTGGATTGATTGGAGGATTTGTCTACCAGGGAGCATCCATGCTTCTCCAAAAGCTGAAGGTTGATGACCCTGTGGATGCCAGCCCAGTTCACGGCTTCTGTGGCATCTGGGGATGCATGGCAGTGGCCCTCTTCGATTGGGGCAAGGGTTTTGATCACTACCACGGCTGGAGTGGATGGAGCTGCACTCCGGGTTCCGATGGGGTTTCTTGCAAGACCGGTGCCAATGGTACGGGCCTTGGAGCCAACGTCGTGATGGTTCCTTGCGGCAGAACAATTGCACCTTTTTCTGCTTTCTTGGGTCGACTGAACATAGACATAGGTGGCAGTTCGTTTTGTAACATCAATATTTGCAATTTGCAAATCATTTTTGCAGGTGCTCATGATCATCGTGTGGGCTGGTCTCCTGTCCGGCATTTCCTTCTTCGTCCTCAAGAGGACGCGCATGTTAAGGATCAGCGAGGAGGTGGAAGAGACTGGCATGGACTCTCACCACCACTCCCCGCCCAAGGCCTATTCCCTGAGTGCAGCGCCAGCCACCGCAGGAGCAGTCTGAGAGTCCTGATGGAAGTTTTCGAGTACGTCAGCCGGCTGGTAGGGTCTCCATTTTTTTGCTTCCTGGAATACCCAGCCGGTCGTGTGAATGGCACTGGAGTGGAGCTCCATGTTGGATGTCAATCCATGTTGGATGACATAGGCATTGATGCTGAGCAGTTTCCATGTTGATGTCTGCTAGATCGGCTGGTTGGATAAGGGTAGGACAACCATCTATTTTTTAACTACCCTACCCGTGGCCTAGCTTAGCTGCTCAGACAATGCCCAGTCTTGGTCTGACCCCCCCTGACCGACAATGAAACGTCAGGGACCGTTGGACATGATTGCATCGTACTGACGTTGCCCTGACAAACTGCATGGTTCGACGAAGGATCGAAGAAAGCCTGCGATCAGTCTGGTGCGGGTCGTGACCCACCTTGTTTGCCCGACCAGTCCACCATGTAGCGAACGACCTTCCACGGAAGTCAACCAAGGTGCTTGGGTGTTGACCCACAACCATTGGTCATCTGGAATGCATAGAGAGAGAGAGAGAGAAACGCGACGAACCAAGCGACCCATGCGACGTCGGAGGCCCGGCAACGCGTGCTGAACGGCTCGATGCTGCACTCAGTGAACGGCACGGGGGGGGGGAAACATCTACCGTTCGTGTCGGCGAGTGTTTGGGGGTCGTCCTTGCGCATTGGCAAGTGGGGTTGAGATGTGTCTCCTAGTAGTGACGTCTCCTGCGCGCGAAAGCGAACGCTTTGGTTGGAGAAGCTACGTCGGCCGAGCCATTGGACGGAGAATCCGGGCGCTACGAGTCCGAAGGACAGGCCGAGTCATCGGTGGTCGAGCCATGCCACGTGAGCGAGACCAAGCAAAGAGACGTCTTTGGTGGACCCTTTTTGGGTTCATGAGCGTGTATGAGCGTGCTTTCTCGTGTGTGTATGTGTAGATACACACATACGTCATGCGAAAGGTGGACAGGACTACACCCGCTGACAATCCAGAGTATGCAGGTTCACCTCACTTCCTTCCAATAAGGAACTTGTGGTGGACTTGAGGACTTGCAGAGAGGGAGTGTTTACTGTCGTTACTTGGAGTCAGCGGAGTGAATTAGCTTGATCCACCCTAAACCCTAACCGCCAGACCAAGTGTCAACTTATTCCTTGACCAAGAACTGCATGAGTTCGAACTTTGGACACGGGTTCGGAGCCCGGACAGCGCGGGGTCCTGTCAAACCGGAAATTGGACACGACATGCGTGGAGTCGCGCCCGTTCGGATGCCCGGGCAGCCGGAGTTTTGCTGACAGACTTCAACCACCGCTTTATGGAGCGCTTTTTGGGCTTCCACAACGAGGCCGTTTCGGCTGCTGCGGAAGGGTGGCGATGCGGACGAGATGTGTTCGGCTGCGGACGGGTGGTGATGCGTTTTGAGGAGCTGCGCATAGTTTTTGCACGATCGGATTTCATTTAGCCCGTGCGCGCATGTATGTTAATGCCTTCCTTCTGTTATCTTAGCAGAAAGCACACGTGTGGATCTTGTTTTTTTTCGGGATAACTGTGAGATGCAACAGTTTGTTGGTTGGGGAAGACGCACAAGCTGCTCCATCTAGATGATCTTGATGTTCGTGTATTTGATTGACTTGATGGCCAAATCAAATAACTACGATTCGAACCGTGCATCCCGAACCAACAAGTCAACTTTTTACTTCCTTCACATGCGAAGGTCATGGGTCTTATAAGTCCGTGACATCTACTTTCAAGTCGACCTTGCATGGATGGTTCAGTCCATTACTTGCGAAGCCGGTGCGTGGCTGGCACGTGTCGCCCTTGGAAGAGAAGAACCGTCTCGTTGCCTGGCGGAAGAACGCTCGCCGAAGCAGCCATTTCGGCGTCCGATTTCTGGGTGGGCTGGGCATGGCTGGGCTGCGCAAGATGAGGAGCGGAGCAAAATCCACAGCGGACCGATCGGGGGTCGAAGACTGCGTTCGAAGCAGGTGGAAGAACTGTTTCATCAGAAGAGTTGCCTACCCCTGTGCTGTCTCTGATTTTGCTCCACTTGAGGTGGACAATCTCGTTGATCCAAGTTTCTCACCCGAAACGACCTGTGCGTCCTCGAGATTTTGGTCCAGTCGCACCGCCGATTAAACAGCTCCATGGAGGTACAGCCGAGGCTGCACCGCAGGTACCGAGGCGAAGCCCGGAGGTGACATGAGGTGACACAGCGACACACCGATTTCGCGGAGCCCCCAAGCTTCCCTGCCGCTTGGATCGTTTCGCGGAGCCTTTTTCGAATCAGTCTCGATCGCACAGGTCGCAGCTTCATCTGATTCGGAGTCTCCTCAGGTGGTTTTCAAAGATGGAGTCGGATTTCTGTTTTGTTGACCACGGCTTGCGAAAGCTTCGCATGTAATTTTTATCGAAGCAAACACCAGAGCAGCACGATGATTTTGGGTGTCTTCCCGGCTCCCCCGATCCAGCTCGAGCTGGTGTGGCAGCGATAAGCTCTGTTTTGGCAGACAAAAAAAACATCAAAATCCACAGTGTTAAGTTTCTGTGTCTGGTGTTCAACCTGGTGTAGCAAATTCCAGAGAGTGACACGTGTCTGTTTCCCAAACTTCCCCTGTAGAGGTGCAGTCTGATGCGCAGAAGCCGCCAGGATTCTATGGCCGCTCGTGTTTTTGCTGGGTCCAGTGGAGGCAGATCCAGTGGAGGCTCGAGCAAAAAAACGAAAAGAGAAAAACAAAGAAAGCAGAATTTGAAGCTGGGTGTTTCGAACTTTTTGCTCAAACCAATCATTTTGTGGTGTTGTTTTTCCCCAAACAGGTTTACCTGTGAGGGGTTCTTACTCCTTTTAAAGGGGTGCATGCTCGGGCCGGATGATTTTGAGTTTGTCTCCGGGCTTGTGTTCCTGGCCGCATGATTTCACCCTTGTCTTTCACTTGTCTCCCACTTGTCTCCCAGTAAGCTCTGGATGCTCTCAGTG